ATGATGTGAAACCATAGAAGCTGATTATTTTAGAAATTATTTCAAGGTTGCATGAATTTCATTCTGAGAAAATGTGTGAAGTGTCGGGGGAAGAATCAGTCGGGTTCAGATCAAAATCCTCCCCACGCTTTCCAAATCCCTCCATCAAACACCAAGAGGTCTGTATCTTTTCTTGATGTCAGAGGCCAAACAATGAAGCGCTTCCCTTCAGAGTCTGGGTCACTTCCTGTGTAACTCCTCAAGGCAATCCTGAAGTGAGGATTTAGGGAGGATTAGAGATCAGATATGAGACGGTGCTGACACTTCTATGGCTGTTGTTACAAAACCTGCCCTGCTTTCTCTCTATCCTCCTCTATCAGGTGTGTTTTTGGACGAGCCACAGACAACAGGCCTCCTCTTGAATAGAAAACTCAGAATACACAAATGCAAATGAGACCGAGGCGCTATCTGGAAATCATTATGTTCCTGGTTTCATAGCCGCGAGTCGCTCGGTGACAAAAACTCTCTCGCACCTTTCCATTTCACTAAATGAAAGTGCAAATACACTGAGAGGCAAATTGGGACATGATAAGATGAGAATGCTTCAGCGGCGTTCGCGTCAGCAGAAGTGATGAGACGGTGGAATTATATTATAAACGGGGATTGGGAAGGGGGGTTAATGCCATCACGTCGGGACGCCTGATTGGAATTTGGAACAATCTCCTCAGAGCAGAACTTATTTCCAACAGATAGTAGAAAGTCTGTGATCCGCCTCAGCACTTTTCCTCCCATCCGCAAATCCCTGCAACTGTTTCAGCCCTGGAGTTTGGTTTATAGCGCAGTGACAGCTCAGCACAAAAGGGGGAATTAGACAGAGAAGTGAAAGCAGAGGGAGAAAAACTGGACATATCTGCTGCCATTTGAACTGCGGATGAGCTTGAGAGGGCATTGTGTGGAGGAGGGGGAGGCAATAAGGAACTAAAGAGACATCTTTAACCGAATGTGGGCATAATTGGTGTGAGGATAAGGGCACGATGAGTCTGATACAGAGTGTAGGCGGGATAGGGAGAGGGCTGATATCCTCCTTGTGCAATAAAAGTTTCTTAATCCAAAGATATATAAATGCTGAGTCATAGTATCAAAGTAGGAAAGAAATGACCTCTATAAGCAAATTCATTCATTTCTCGTCACACGCCCTCACAGCCGGCAGAGGATCCGTTTGAACTTCTTTAAAACTCTGATCTTGTACTCGGATTAGTTTCAGGGACGTGCCTGAGTCCTCATATGTGCATATTATTCATGTTAAATGGCTGTATGCGTGTGCCTGCTGGATTAACATGAACTTAATTAGCAGATTGACATGAAGCCTCTTAAGAGACGACCTAATGACTTCCAGGAAAGGATGCTATATATTTTAAAGAAACAATCAGACGTCCTCGCAGTGGATTTAAAGGGCAACGTAACTGTAAATAAAGACAGAATTACTTTGTATTCAATTCAATTAAGATAACAGGGCTTATGTTCTGAGGCTTCCGCACAGAAGAGCTCATTATTATTGTGTGTTTATCTCAATATTTTCTATAATCGAGTCATGAAACTTCCCCAAATGATAACTTACATTAAGGCAATTAACACGTTTTCTGAAAAGTTATCTTTGGATATACAAATTAGTCATTATCTTGAGAATCATGCTGAAAAAGCCCTCTGTGAAAATATTGAAAGGATATAGATAGGAATGAAAATGTGTGTGTGTGTGTGTGTGAGTGTATTTGTGTGTGTGTGTCTTACCAACATAGAGCTGGCTGAACAGCTCTAGGCGTGTGTGTCCCTGAGCAGGAGCGAGCTGAGAGGCCCGGTACGTTTCATCCAGCTGAAGCACGGCCTGTTTCACGTTTCGCTCGGCCATCACGCGATGCCATTGGTCGTCATTGAGGGGCGTGTCCGAATGCACCGTCAGCTCCACAGGTCCGTTTCCAACGTCGAAGGAGAAGGAAATGAGTTTAGGAGCTGCACAGAGAGGGAGAAGAGGAAACATATAATCAGCGTAAGTCATTTATTAAACCACATGAAGCCTCTCTCTCTAAAACCCAATACTTCATGTTCTGTTGCTCTGCACTCTGCAGGTAATTATGCTCTCCTTGTCATTTCAAATCTAATGGCTCATTTGTTTCAAGGCCCTTCATTTGGCTGGTATATATATTTCAGATATGCAACAGACGACGGCCCACAGCTTCGGACAGGATTAATCTCACGGCAGTCGACGGATCCCAGAAGCTTTTGAGATTGCACGACATCAAGCTATGCACCGGATGTTAAAAAGCAGTAAAACAGCGAGAGATCATCAGTTGAAGAAAAATAACAGAGAGGATAAGAGCATACAATAATATGCAACCTCTGGGCAAGATAACCTTTCTGTTCTGCATGATCATTCCTAAAGTAAGTGGATTTATGGGTACGTGTGTGTGTATGTTTGTGTGTGTATGTTTGTGTGTGCCAAGTTCAAATGCCATGAAGTTAAGTAGCCTTATATTTCAACAGACCAACAGGGGGCACTGTTATACCTTTTATGACCATAAAATGTCAAATAGTCATGGATATTTCTGTGTGTGTGTATTTGTGTGTGTGTGTGTGTGTGTGTGTGTGTGTGTGTGTGCGCGCTCTCGACCTGCCACCTGTCCATTCCAGATGTGTTTGCGACTGCAGTAGAGAAGACACTGTCTGATGGCTTTTAACCTCTCTGCAGGGAACAGTGATCAATCTGTGTGTGTGTGTGTGTGTACCTATTTTCACCTCTATCTCACCTTGAGACAATTTCAATGTCACAGCTTTTGATAAATACATTTCAGAGTCATCTTTTCTACCTGTAACACACTGTTGGTTTGGACTCTCTTCGTATTATTGGAGCATTACGTTGAGGGTCCTGACAGCAGGTGAATCACATGTGGCAAAAAAAGTCCTTCAATGAATGCTTGCCACTGCAAAATGTCAAAGTATTTTTTTCCCGCCTTGAAGGGAATAACGCAACAACGAGAAAACAACGAGGGGAATACTTTTCCTGCTGGAAAGACGATTTTGCAATTGTCACATTAAAACCCAATCGACTCTGTCCTTAATGTTTGGTACTTCTGTATAAAAGCTATATATATTCTGGGCGGTGCCATATGGTGGTTATTGGCAGCGTTGATGAATAACCACTCTGTATGTTACCGCTCCGTTATGGCCTCATTAGACTCAGATATTAGACTGAATACATTCATGCAGTGGTCAATAGGGAAATGAACTTTCTTTTGCACAATCAATATGCCTGGCCTTTCTCTCCTTTTCACATTACTTAACTCTAATGATCTTTTTCTTTCTTTCATTCTTTTATCCCTTGCATCCTGACACTATCCTTTCTTTCCCCTGTATTACTTTGTCTTTTATCAGTTTCTCAATTTACATCTCGCAATCATCCCTAAAATAGCATTAACTCTGCCAACCCACCCGCCCCCCCCCCCCCCTCCATCTCTCCTTCCTTCCTTTATCCCTTTTCTCAGACACTATCATTTCCTCTTGAGTTTCAACGACACCAACATAATCCTGCCTGGATGATGTGATTGTGTAAGATAAATCTGAAGAAGCGCTTAAACATTTGACTTCCCCCGACACACAAGCAGACAAATAGATGCATGAACACACACATCGAGGCCTGGAGTGTAAACCCTCTGACAGGCTTTAATACACTGAACTAATGATGTCTGTATGCAGGGAGCAGCGATCACTTATTTTAAACGCTGAGAGAAAGCCAAACATATATCAGATTACCCCGGCGGAAACAATATCTTAGCAATGAGGCTTTATGGCATATGAGTGTGTGTGTGTGTGTGTGTGTGTGTGTGTGTGTGTGTGTGTGTGTGTGTGTGTGTGGTTAATTGTCTGTTGTTTTAGCAGCATTGCAAACAAGATGGATGCCCTACAACTTTCTTTTTCTACTCAGTCCAGAGACAGGATCGAAAGCTGAAGTGCCCTCAGAGCACAGAGCTGTCTCCTCTATTTGCATACCTGTGATGGATGCTACAGGTGTAAGTGTGTGTCTGTGTGTGTGTTTTTGTGTAATGGGAAGTTCCGTTTAGCAGCTTTAAAGCTATCTTCAGAGGGCTGGCAGTGTGTTATCACTTCTATCTCCTTCTGTTCATTCTTTGTTGTTCATCTCATTTTCTCTGACGGCCTCTTGCTCTGTTTTCCACCACTGTCTGAGGCGGCCTACTAAAGAGAGAAACTTGATTCAAACACCACAGAAAACCTGCTGCTGTCGACGCTCAAACATGATTTGAAGCAACTTGTCAAAAGAAAAGATCTCTCTGTGACAAAGACGCTCTGAAAATCTATTTTATCAGCAAAAAACACTTTCTTTTGATTTCCTCCAGAGTATTTCTTAGTGTCTACAAAGATCAAATAAAGATTCTCTTCTGAGCGTTTTAAAAGTAGAGCCTGTTAAATATATATTCTTAGTGGTGGCTGACATGTAAAGCAATATGTAGTTATCTACTAAAGCGAAAATCAGAGAGACATCTGACAACTTTGAGAAAGCGAGTGATGCATAGGCCTCTTCTAAACTTCAGATTTAAACTTTATTTCTGTTTGGCCTTCACATAAAAAAAGGCAATAACAACATTTCTTAAGCCAAAGTCTCCGCAGGAAAGAGCATTTCCCAGCTGGATCCCAGACTGAAAGTGTTTATAACCTTTGGGCGAGACTATCACGGAAATTGCAGCCTCTTAAAGACCCAACATATACTTTCCAGTGAGCCTCAGAAGTCAAGCGTTTCTGTATTTGAGGACCTTTCTATCTGTCCTCAATCCTGTTACACGTCCACTTCTGAATATGCCCCCAATGCTGCCTCTCAAATATTCTTCTTAAGATTCAAACAGGAACAGTGTCCGGCTGATGGCTCTTTAAGTCCGCTGAGGTCACAGCGATGTGTATTTGCTAAAAGGTCGTGTGTGTGTGTGTGTGAGCTCCTGCAATGCCACAGCTATGCTATTCTGGCTTAATGCTAGTCATTTCATACCTTGACCGGATTGGAGCAAATAGAGCTTTTGCACCAGCGAGGGCAGAGAGGGCAGAGATTACGTGTGTGTGTGTGTGCAAGAGAGTGTGTGTGCATGCAAGTTTTTTCACTAGTGTGTCTAAACATGTGCTGTGGGGCAAAATGCAAGATGATAGCAAGGGAGAGACACACACAAACACATATCTCCTCTGGCCTGCTGGACACTCACTGAATCTGTGTGTGTGTGTTATCACCCCCTTTGGCAAACCTCTCACACTCTTCAGTGTAGTGTGAGCACATTGAGTTTTTCATACAAGAGTATATGTGTGAATGTATGGGCAGATGTGGAAGAACTGTTTACTTAGGTCAAAGTAGTTCTACTACCAAATACTGGATTTAAAAGCATCAAGATATACCTAAAATATCAAAGTTACTTATTCTGCGGAAGAGCCCATATCATAGTAGTATATATATTACATTACATTACATTGCATTTAGCTGACGCTTTTGTCCAAAGCGACTTACAATAAGTACATTCGACCAGGAAGACACAACCTTGAAGAAAACAGAATCATATAAGTATATCAGGTTTCATAGAGCCAAACATTTCAAGTGCTACTCAACTGGCTTTAGGTAAGCCAGTCCTTTATTAGTATATAAGTGCTTTGTTAATAGTTCTAACGCTCGAAGTGGAGTCGAAAGAGATGAGTTTTCAGTCTGGAAGATGTGTAAGCTTTCTGCTGTCCTGATGTCAATGGGGAGCTCATTCCACCATCTTGGAGCCAGGATAGCAAACCCACGTGTTTTCGCCGATGGGAACTTGGGTCCCCCTCGCAGCGAGGGCGCAACGAGTCGTTTGGCTGATGCAGAGCGTAGTGCACGCGCTGGGGTGTACGGTTTAACCATGTCCTGGATGTAGGAAGGGCCAGATCCATTCGCAGCATGGTAAGCAAGTACCAGTGTCTTGAAGTGGATTCTAGCAGTTACCGGAAGCCAGTGAAGGGAGCGGAGGAGCGGAGTGGTGTGGGAGAATTTAGGAAGGTTGAAGACCAGACGAGCCGCTGCATTCTGGGTGAGCTGCAGAGGTCGGATGGCACATGCAGGTAGACCAGCCAGGAGGGAGTTGCAGTAGTCTAGGCGTGAGATGACGAGAGCCTGGACCAGAACCTGAGTCGCTTTCTGAGTCAGCTGGGGACGTATCTTCCTGATGTTGTAAAGCGTGTATATCATAAGATTATTGATATCTTATTGTGTTCATCACTTCAATGTTGCAGCTGTTAAAAGTAGTGTTTCCTTTATGTACTGCTGGGTAGCTTGTGAGAATAATAGCCATTTCATTGTTAAAAAAGGCCTGTTGCGCCTCATGAAACTTTACAACTACCACCTGTAGACTGATGCTTATTAGAAGACGTATGGCTTTTCTAGGTATCTTCACAATGAGGTGGTTTCTGAGCAGTTTCCAGAAGGATGCAGGTTAAGAACAGTCTTTAATGTTTGTTCAATTTTGTCTGGAGCTGTCCGTGGTGATGAAACACTTCGCTCTGTTGCAGGAGGGAAACTGCTCAGAAATCCCCTTATAACCCATACCTATGGAAGTCATATGTGTTCAGTAGTTTCATCCTCTTTTTGAACTCATGGTCACGCCCCAAGAGATGAAACCAGCAGAACAGAAAATGTCTCCAACATCTCCAAAACACCGTCAAGCTCTTCCCGATTCACTGCTCTTCGGTTAGACACATAACTTCATGTCCTTGTGGATTCAGAAAACTGCTGAGCGTGAGATTTCCTAATGAGTGATGTCTTCCACAGGCTGTAAAGTTGAACTCTGTGTGACTGATGGTGCTGAGAGGACACTGCGGCTGGCACCATAGTCTGCTTCCATAGCTCTTAAACTCACAGGTGGAGTGAGGCAGAATGTATCCACCTTAACCTCACTGTGTTTATCCTCCAGCTCCTCACCAACAACCAGCTGTAATGTATTTGTAAATCAATGCTTTCTGCAGTTACTCTCAATGGATTCAGCTTGGTAATTATCTCTTCTTCTTATAGTCTTCGAGGTCTTATGGGTCCTCTTCCTGGTCCCTCTTCATATTCGATGTTTCTCTCTGCTGTGAGATCCTGTTATTTTGACACAGCTGAGACGAACAGACTGCAGTTTTGACCTTGTATTTTGTCACAAGTAGCTTGAGAAATATAAAAATAGCAATTCCGCACCTGTTATTCGAATGTGTCAAATAAATATGTAAACACATCTTATGCTGCTCATCTCATTGAGCGACAATACGTCAAATAAAGAAGTGTTTCTTTCCAGTAAAGATTAATCAGAATAAGACAAATATTTGAGATGTTTTTAATTGATTTAGTTTTTTATTTATGCTTTATTAAAATGTACTTATGCATGTGTGTTTCTGTGTGTTGGGGAACGTGAAAGAGTTCTGACTCTTCAATGTGTGTGCAGGTACACAATCAACACTTACACTTGTCACTGACACCATTGAGTGACTCAGTGTGTGTGACGGCCCGTCCACACGGCAGCGTGCGTTGACGCTTCTGCCCATTCACTTTGAATGGGGTGACGTCACGCTTTGCCGAACTGCATTGTGGTTCCGTCGCTTTGCTTTGCTCGCTTCAAAAGTTGAGCAATGTTCAACTTTTGAAGCTTCGACGGAAGCGTCAGCCAATCAAATCATATGCCAGTACAAGCTCTAGCCAATCAAACCGCGTGCTTGTGTGTCCGGGCGGGAGATTCATGTGATCGGTTGTTGGTCGAGTTTCAGACACGCTTCAACGCACGCCGCCGCGTGGACGCTGCGTAAGTTGGTATTAGAGAGGTAAACGCTCGTATTAGCAGGATTCATTGTTTTAATAAAAGGAGAAAAAGGGAGTATTTGTGTATTTCCGTGAGTGTGTGTTTGAGAGTTTGTGTTTTCTCAACCCTAAAAATGGGTGATTTGGTTAAACAGAGGTTTATAATAGACATAATTATTGCACACACACCAATTACCTTAAATAAATGATTGCTCTCTCTTGCAATCACAAAGTAGCGCGACATAATCAGAAAGGTAATTGACTGCCGCTGTGCATCTGCATCAGTGTGTGTGTGTGTGTGTCAGTGTGAATTTGAGTGTGTGTGGTGATTACTCAGATATCTTACATTTCAGCTCCAAACGGATGAAGTCTGTGTTGCCCAGGTTTTCCAGAAAGACGCCGTAGGGAGCGCTGGTTTTGAAATAGAAGGAAATGTCGGCGCTGGTCTCGCCCTGGAAGGTGGCGAAGTGCAGGTAGGAGGACGGGGTGGTGAACGACGCAGCGTTCCAGTAGTTATCTGCGGAGAAAAGAGATAGAATCAGCACTGAGGCAAACACTATTCTGATCTGATAAGCTGCAGAATGAATTCTTCGTAGAAATTGTTTTATTTCAAATGGCGATGCATCCATTTTCAATTCATTCCAAAGAGCTATCAATCACTTCTGGATAAAAGAGCGTTATCTCACGTCCTTTGTGTGGCTCATTTAATATCTCCTCAGAATTCATCACGTAAAATTATATTCCTGTGCAAAGGTATTAACTGCATTCCTTCAATACTACTTGATAGAGAATTGGTCATCTCATAGCCGATGAGGACTTGAAATGGGATGCATGGATACGGTGCGGAGGGATTTGTTGATAACTTTTCTAATGACTTTTATGAAGCGAAACCAGCGGCAGCTAATGAAGACAAAGTAGCCGCGCGTTAAACAGCTGCTGACGAATGATCAGACTGTGGTTGGTGAGGGGACTTCTCTGCTGTCCTCCCTCCATCTCTCTCCTATCACTCAGGGAAGAGGAAGAGTCAGAGGAATAGGGAGAGGAAGAAGAGGCCATGTACGGGTGAGAGGACTGAATATTGAAGAGGTGACGGTGGATGGAAAAGAGGAGAGAAAAGGGAGTGGACAGCTGACAGGAGAGGAGGAGGAGGAGGGTGCATGTGAAGGGCAGGAGGAAGAGGAAGAGGCGAAGAGTGGAGACTAATGTGGTGTGAACTTCGGCCTCAGACCCCCCACCACAGCCCTGGAGGAGCAGTGGAGCCGAGGGGGGAAATATGTGTATGTGTGAATGTATATTGATATAAACAAATCACAAATGCTGAAAATAAGTTGCATATGGTATTTCTACATAGCGACACATCAGTTTTATAACTTCTGCATCCCTTTCTGTGAGTTTATGTTGATTTGTATGTTCACACGTGTCGTATGCGTGAATGCCTGCACGTGGAGGTATGCACCGGTATCCCTGCATCTCTGTGTGTGTGTGTGTGTGTGTGTGTGTGTGTGTGTGTGTGTGTCTTCTGGCACAGTGCGATAAGCGCTCCCCAATGACATGGCTGAGCTTCTTCCCCTCTCCTCCTTGCCTCACATCCTGTCACCGGGGGCAAGGGCAGATAGCGGCCACACACACACACACACACACACACACACACACACACACACACACACACACACACACACACACACACACACACACACACACACACACACACACACACACACACACACACACACACACACACACACACACACACACACACACACACACACACACACACACACACACACACATACACACACACACTTTCTAGTGTGTTTGAAGTCGGGATACTGTTTATTTCTCCACGGGAGGAACAGCCAATTATTGAACAGGGTTAATTGAGCACTAAACAGGAGGAACCCTGCAGAGGCTGAGGAAACAAACAATTACGTTTACTGTGTTGTTCCATCGTAGCAAGAAGGGCCGCAGTAGTTGGTGACACTCGGATATACAATCACTGACTGAATGCTAAGGGATAAGCAGGGGCTCAAAGGCACACATTATGATCATAAGCAACAACCACAAAGTTAGCTGAAAAGCATAATGATACACATACACACAGAGAAGTTGACTTTTGTGTGTACTGGATAAACACACTCTGGAGCCAGAGAGTAGACAAAAACAAAGAAGGACAAGAGGATATATAAATACAGCCCTGAGGGGAGGAAGCTTCAGAAGGGGGAGAGAGAACGAGAGGAAGAGAGGGATGAGGGAGGAGGTGAGAGAGAGGGCTCAAAGGAGATCCATACTGAGAGAAGCAAAGGAGAACAAACATTAGGGGGTTGACAGGAACTGATTGTTGGAGAGGAAACAGAGTTTGAGGAATACACTTTGAAGCCAAACCATACCGGTGCCAGATCCACAGATGCAACTGGTTGGCTAAGCTCTGTGGCACATTATCTCTCACACATTGAAATGTTTGTCAAACAAATGCTTCAAAACAAACCCAACACATAAATCCCTTCCTGTCTGAGACACTATACATATTTAACTGGTAGCTACAAAGCCAGTTAACACACTCACAGCTAATTGTGTTTCATCCAAAAACTAATTTGACAGAACACAACGTTTGCCAATTACTCCCTTAAAAAGTTGGCGAACAAAATCTTTAAACTTATAACATCCCCGTGATCCTGAGATGTTCTACTATATAGGGAAAAACTATCAGGTGTAAAGAAATCACAAAAGAACCGTCTTTTATCCAGAAACCCACATCTAACCGCCTTGCAGGGACAACAAAAAGACGAATCAGGAATTCCTCAGAGAGAAAACGGCACACACTACAAATGATTACTCTTTACCACTTTGTCAGAAGATGTTCTTTACAGATATATCTTTCTTAAAAGCATGTTGTGGATGTCTCTTGGATCCATCAACCCATTAGACTGAAAACAGCTGCTGACCTCTGGATCGGACCACAGGGAGGCAGAGGCAGTGAACTGTGGAGCTGACACCATGTGAGATACAGTCTGGGTCTGGAAGCCAACTAGATGATTCATACGTCAGACCAGATGTGACAGTACCAGCAGATGGTAAGGATGACTGACTGTACACTGTCTCAGGTCATCAACAGGGACATTTACAGGCACACACACATGTCAAATACATGCGGAAACACTTCATGTTCATTGTTGGATGTAGGCAGAAATAACTAATGCCACAATAGTTCATATTAATAACCTCATCCTGCATGAACAGAAAGTGCCAAGTGTAGATTGTGACATTCAGGATCTCAGACCTCCTGGAGCAAACACCCGCTGTGCTTTCTCATTTAATTATTCCACTTGCTACTTTTTCTGCCACCTACTTCAGGTGCAAAGTTGTTGGGGGGCTTTTTCATCAAAGGACTAAGAATAGTGTCTAACAAGAGAGAGAGAGAGAGAGAGGAGAGAGAGAGAGAGATGAGAGAGAGAGAGAGAGAGGAGAGAGAGAGAGAGAGAGAGAGAGAGGAGAGAGAGAGAGAGAGAGAGAGAGAGAGAGAGCCCCTGAAGGTACCGCTCAGATATGACTGTTCAAAACACTTGAACTTACATAAACCTGATACTTCTGCTCACAACACAAACACTTCTCTTTCCATTGAGAGCTGCATTTCCTCTCATCTGTAATTGAGTTATCTGAGGGGTGTCACTCTGTGTTTACAGTACACATAGCATTTGAAACTTCGGGTAATTACTTTCTGTCTGTCATAAAACCCTGCTATCTAACTTTAATTAGATTTCATTTCATATATATTTGTAGCACTTAACCTCTAGACATCATATGGAGAGATGCCAGGGGAATAAAGGTTTGGGAAATACAGGAGGAGAAAATAAGTATAATTGAATGCTTTATTTTTCATTCATTTACTTCTAGGAAGGATAACATGTAAGTGTACGAAGGGCTTTAGGTTCAAATAACCACTAAATGGTACCAACATGACCAAGTATTATATGAGGGTACTTTACTTCAGGATTTTGAAACTGACCTTTAGACTCTCTTTAAGTACGTGTTTGGTCTATTGACTAATAATAATAATTCCTTACATTTATTATAGCGCTTTTCCAGATGCTCAAAGCGCTTTACAAATACAGATTACACATATCATACATGCAATGGTCATGTACTGTGGACAATACCCACAGGAGCAAGTTCAGGTGAAGTGTCTTGCCCAAGGACACAACGCTTTACAGACGCAGCGGCGGCGGGTTTCACCCCTTGATCTGATGATCATTGCACAGCGCACTGCGCCACACCGTCCATCTTCACGCCTCGAGGTCATCGAGGCGCTTTTACAAGTACACATTAGTATCATCCATGTACTGTGGACAATACCCACAGGAGCAAATCTGGGTGAAGTGTCTTGACCAAGGACACAACGGCCTGACGCAGTGGCGGGTTTCGAACTGGAGTTCCCAGCACCCCCCTTGATCTGATGATCAGATGCACAGACCACTGCGCCACCCGTCCCGGACTAATTTCTATGTTGGAAGCCACTCGTCCGCCTATAATACAATGACTTCTAACATTCAATGTATAACTAAGGGTCATAATCCATATTTTATAAAAGAGTAACAGAAGAAAAGGCAAAACAAATGGATTTTCCGTGTACTGTACACATTACATTTCATTTGACTGACACTTTTACCCAAAGCGACTTCAAATAAGTGCAAATCCATAATTGTTCCTTCTTCCAGCAAGTAGACACAACCACCATGCAGTAAGTATATCTCTTGCAACATGTTTAAATAAACTGCAGTTGATGAACTATATCTCCTTAATATGAAAAAGAAAATCCACAAAAATACTTTAAATAAAAGTACTTACGGAATTGCATCGTTTCAAATCTGACTTTAAGTAACATTTTTAAATTGATATTTTCAATCTGTTTATGCAAATTCATATACTTCTTCTTTGCAAACCCAAAGTAAACCGTATGTATTGCACCCCAGACTCAAAGTCCTATACATCCTGATAGACTGGCATACATTACAAAGACATTATACAAGATGTGTGCACATGAACAGTGACACGTGCACAAACCAATTCATTAGTTTTGAACTACCTCAGGCGACCCCTGTAAGCTTTCATTTGTGGTCACTCATGAGGCCAAGCATGTCCCATAGCAGGTGCGTTACATTATAATAAGAGACCACATGCTCCAATTGCTGTCATTTATTTTCATCCCCATCTATTAACACGTCCAAACCCTTTTAACAGCTATAAATGGGGCTAATTCCTCTCTGCCTGCCTGTGACTGTATAGTCTGCCATTAAACTAGCCATGTAAATGGGCTCCATTAATGCTGGAGCACACACACACACACACACACACACACACACACACACACACACACACACACACACACACACACACACACACACACACACACACACACACACACACACACACACACACACACACACACACACACACACACACACACACACACACACACACACACACACACACACACACACACACACACACACACACACACACACACACACACACACACACACACACACACACACACACACACACACACACACACTGAAAGTTGCACTCTAACTCCTATTACCACCAATGAAAGATAAAGATGCACACACACACACACACACACACACCCACACCCACACCCACACACACACACACACACACACACACACACACACACACACACACACACACACACACACACACACACACACACACACACACACACACACACACACACACACACACACAGACACACAAGTCCTCTTTACTAAAACTTCCCCTGACTGCATAAGGCATTAGTCATTTGTCTATGAAAACCCATTATAAGGCAGCCAATCATCATTGCTCTTACTGAGACAGAGCTCCATGCGCTGCACGAGAAGCATCAATCATACACGGAGTACCTATTCACGTGTGACATTTTTAATATATGTTTAATATGCCTTAATGGCCCAATATATAATTTATTCTCCACGTTACGGTGTCCTGACCAGCACTATTGCAAACATACCTCAAAGTCATCTTCATTTTAAAGTTAGTTTGTTAATTTGGTCACTTATTATAAAGGAGGATAACTCTCGTCGTCTCTCACACACACAGACAGCAGATAATAGAGTGATATAAAGAGAATATGGCTGCCTCCATTCGAGGGAAGGATCCATTTTTAATAATTGTGTCTGCCATACTGCTACATGATAGCTGCACACACACAAACAGATGCCATGTCACGGGTCATTAAATCATTGTTTGTTTGTGTGTTGGCAGCTCTGTGATGAAGGGACGTTCAGCAGATTGTAGATGAAGGGACCATAATGAGTGTGACACCCGTGAGGAGTAAGGGCAGGTGTTCTGTCATGTCCTGCCCCCCCGACAGAACCAGGCCACTTCCTGTCTCCCGGATGAATGGGCCGACGGAGAGAACAAATCTGTGCACGAGGGAAACCGTTTCTATGCTAGATCATTTCTTGTGCAATTTTAAAACATGCAGAACATCCACACATTCAGTCCAAGGAGATTGCAAAGCTCCGCTCGTTCATTCCCGTTAGTATGAAAAACGAGCAGTCAATAGATAATATATGAAGCATTATTATCGTAATGATCCTGCTGCCATACACTGAAGATTAAATCCATGTTTGCTTTTTCTCTCTCTGCAGGATATTACTTTCTTCTAAACCTCCCTGCTACTTTGTTACAACGCAGAGACGATAAGGACATTACTTCTCTGTGCTATTTGGTTTTAGGAGATTAAACAAATATAAAAGGATGAGGGACGAAGAGGTCATCTCAAAAGCTAAAACTACTTGAGGAATTCATACAGTCCTGTTCTAAATCCTCCCAATTGGTATTACATATAGAAAGTCAGTTTGGTTGACTTGTTCCAGACTAAAGGACATTCTACCTTTTACAGTAGTCTGTTTTGTGTTCAGATCACAATCAGGAGGGATACGAGAAAAGACTCCTGAAGACGCCTGATGCATATCAAGCAAACAAATCAGCTCCTAGGGGTCTCCAGGGAGAATCCTAACAGATTGTTTTAGGGGCCGCACAAAGGCTTAAGAGCAACACATGCTGCCCAAGTTGCTCATCAAGTGATGCCAACAGCATGCACCAAGCTACAAGCGTTGTGATATAAATACTGGTGTTTTCCAACCCTGCAGCTACTGGATATCCTCGGCATCATTAGTAAAAGGTTTCCATTATCCATTTGATCCTTTTTTAAATTGGGAATTCAGATTCAGAATGAGAAGTGATTTATTTAGACGTATATGAGATGCTTCAGGAATGTGAAATTGAGTTAGGAGGAAATAAAGGTGGTGAACCTGAGAGACACAATCTGTGTGTGTCGTCAAGTTGACCCCAAGTCCAAGAGAGCAACGCGCCAACACTGATTAAAAGAAAAGACAGGATAAGAAACAGCAGGGATTAAACTGCCTCTTATGGTGTGTGTGTGTGTGTGTGTGTGTGTGTGTGTGTGTGTGTGTGTGTGTGTGTGTGTGTGTGTGTGTGTGTGTGTGTGTTCCTGCAGTATCTGATATCTGATGTTTACCAGAGAGACGACTAGATAGAAGAGAATATAGGTGTTTGGACGGGGAGTCTCTGGGTGTCTGGCCACACACACACTCAGGGTTGTTTAACAGAGCAACTGCTTCTCTTAAGGATCATCACAAAGAGAGTATGAACGTGTTATTTTCACACTCAAATGCAACATCAGAATAACAATGTTCCCAATTGTTCTCCGCTATGCATGAAGTGCTTTCTCTTGTTCTCTCACACCATCGTTTTTCTTTAATTAAGAACCCATTCAGATCATACGCAGCAAATTGCAGAGAGGTTTGTGCACTTAAAAGTTTAGCTAACAATGGCTGAATACAGAGAATACACAATGTTTCATTTCCACTCGGATTAGGGAGAAAGAAAGAGGCAACGTGTTCTCCCATGAGACGAGTGAACATAATTAAGAATAACAAAGTACTCTTTAAATTCACATTCTTAAATTCTGGTGGTTGTTTAAGTTTCCACATAGTTGCATGTTGTTTTCGTCCCTTAAAATCCCTTAAATGTGTAATTATTGCCGCCACACTTATCCTGCACTACAATTTCCATTCACTTTAAAACAAAATACAGTGTTTTATTATAATTATGACTTTTAGAAACTAAAGTGCAACTTAGGCAAATGTGAAGCACTCTTCCAGCATGGTGCTTTTGTGTGAAGTATTTAGAATGTACTAAACAAATTGACATTGTTTAAATGTGCATGCACTGATTTCAGGAAAGGCATTGAGAGGTTGAATCAAGCATAGTCAGGAGTCACATGACCTTCTGTCGGACACAGAGATCCAAAACCAAGAAGATGTTGTCCTGGATTATCTCTCTGATTTTTGGAGTGAGGACATATCTCTATGAACCTAAGGAGAGTTCAGCGCCTCAAAATATTCAGTTTTACAATGTTCTTGACTGGCACGCTGCACTTTTTAATAAAGGTTATTGAAAATACAATTTTCTCACAACTAATGTATTCATTCCAGTCTGGCTTTGAGCTGTTTCCCTGCAAAGGAGACAGTTCTCTTGAGGAGTACAGATGACCTTCTTTGGATGAACGATATAGCCGAATATATTCTTGTTTATTTTTTGCCTTTGTGTTCAGTTGTCCATGCAGAGCTACTAGACCTGCTTGGTCAAGTAACTCTGCATGTGTGATAATGTGCTGGCATTTCAAACACCACCACTGAGCAATTTAATCTTAACAGGTAAGACACCCTTCATCCTGCCAACCGAGTGACCTTTGTTGAAAGCACAATGACGTTTTCTATAAAAGTATCGCATGTTATAACTGTTCAAAAGCTGCACACAGTGTCAACGGGGACATTTTAATAAGAGCAGCATCAAAGACACTGGAGGTGTTCTCTTGATTCAACCCCTGATGAGCCATTTACAAAGGTCATGCAGCCAGGCTTCTACGGCCAGCTGAGGATTATTTAGAAAATGAAAGCACTCCTTTCAGCAGCTGCCTTGCATAAGGTCATTAAGGCACATATTTCCTCTCAATTAGGCCAACTGCAGCCCTCCTGCTCACTCAGGTCTCTCTCACACCTGCACACAATCCAGAAGCTCACACCGGTCCTTTTCCCTGGCGCCTTGAGGTTTGAGGTTATTTTGAACATCTTACTGATCATTCTAAAGCACAGTGTGACTTAGTTTCCTATGTGGCCCTTTTCACTCTCTTTGAGTCAGAGCACAGCTTCCCCTCCTGTGTCCTGTAGGTCCCTGATTCTAACATGAATTAATGAATGTCTTTAACACCTTCTTGCTCATGGGAGTGCTGCTCTCTCTTCTGAGTATTCATAATAACCACAAAGTGGTAGATAAATGAGGCCTAAAACCTGGAATGAGTCATCTTTTACCCACTTCCTGTTACCAAGTCTCTAATTCAATGGATTTAAAGATGTTTGTGGTTACAAGCCTGAAATAAGATCTGTGGTGAGCACAAGCTGAAGAGTCTCATGTTTTACGCCATAAAATACGACAGTAAATACCCAACTGGTACATTTTAAAATGGCAGTTGCTAACAAGTGTCTAAAAATGAGACGACTAAACGATACCAAGCCCAACATTAGCCGCCTTCAACTTAGCAGTGGTGAGGTGAAGTCATGTGACCGTGCTGTAGTTCCTTTATAGCCCAACATTAGCCACCTTTAGCTTAGCGGTGGTGGCGTGAAGTCCTAGTTCCTTTATAGCCTAACGATAGCTTTTTACTTCAGAAACCATTAAATGGTGTTAATATGTGGAGATTATCCTGCTGAACTGTAAGTATCATTAACGCTTGTTTGACACAGCGATACATTTCTGCAATAATCCAAAATCACATGGTGAAATCCCATTGGTTTACTTTTTGATAGTAATGCCCCGTTTGTATCAACAGCTACAACACGGTACAAATGTATCCATGACGCAACACTTACCGTCTCCTTGGCAACGGAGCGGTCCAACCGTTAGCTTAGCCTCAGAGCCCGGTCTGTTGGTGTCACCCACGGCAACCTGGCTGACGGGCAGGTGCTCTTTATAAATCAGGAGACCAGCATCCTCTCTCCTGCAGGATGAGATGAGAGAAACATGCAGAACAAAAACAGGTTAACGCTTCACTCTCTCCCTGTTTCCTTTAATCCTTGGTTTTGCCAATCCATCAATCAATCAATCAATGTTTATTTATAGCCCAATATCACACATATTACATTTGTCTCAGTATTAGCAATCCAAAACAAGATATAGAAGAGTTTCTTACATGTTCTACCAGCACAATTTTACTGATAATACAAACAAACAATAAATACATTAACTATTTAAATCACAGCCTTCAAAGTGAATTATTCACAGAAATATTTGATTTTAAATGTTGTTTTTTTTTTAATAAAACAGATCTATTTTCTGGCTCTGTGTTTGCATGTGTGCATATTTTTGTGCATGTGTGTGTGTCATTGTATGAGCTGCAAAAAACACGGGTAATGAGTGGAAATAGAGTTATATGGGTAATATTTCATAAACTCACTCAGCCAATCAATGAGACATTAAAGCTGACATTATTAATGGAGAGAAGCAGACAGAGTAAGACTTATTTGTAATCTCATCAGTTTTAGAGATGAGGAAAGACATGAAAGTAAATGAAATCTCTCTTTCTCACCAACACGCGGTAATTACCCACAGACACACATTGTGTACACACACATGCACACACCCTCACACAGCGCTGTGATTGGTTTAATGAGAATATCCATCAGCTGGCTAGAGGAGCTTTGAAACACAAACTGTTGGTTTCTGCATGCACATATCCCTCTTAAGTAAACACGGCGTTGATGGTGGCATTCATCATTCAGTCACTTTGAAGTTCAGACACCTCATCAGCAGCGGAGGCAGACGCTGAGCTGACGGATCAATGCTAAAATCAGCAGTAGCACAAGTGACAATTTTAGTTTCAGCATTGTGCCATCAAAATGTCCATGGGGGTTGCAGACTTCACTTTTAAGTCCAGTTCATGTAGCAGGGGGGAAGTCAGGGAAGGATTGTGGGCTTTTTTTGGACTCTAAACTCGTGCGAATGAGACAAAAAGAAAGCTAGCGAGCATTTTGATGATCCCTTGTTTTTTGCACGTATTAAATTAGGTACTGAACTGTGTTGCGAAACGTGTCTAATTCACAGCACTAACTGTAATAGTCGCACAGTGACATTTTAATGGTCGTCAGAGAGTTTTAACTGAAGCGCATCATAAAGGGAGGTCTACTCAAACTCATTTATTTGGGGATGCAGTCACTGAGTTGACACACTGACAGGATGCAATGACAGTTGTGTCATGAAAAAGAAATGAGAAAAAGCTCCCTTACATGTCATTTTTGAAAATACATGAGAAGAAAAAGAGATTTAAATAATCAATGAGCTTTAGCTGCTCTCTTTTAATGGGGAGACACACGTAGAATCTGCTGTGGAGGGATCACTGCAGGTATTTAAAAACATATACAACTATTTTTCAAAAACTCTTAATATAAGACGCACGGATATTTGCAATAACAAGCATAAAAAGAGGCTTGGTTGCAATCATGGTGGTGCTTGCACTGTCGTATCATCAATACAATACCTTTTGTGAATCTAACCTTGAAATGCTTAAATAACGGTTGCATTAATGCGCAATTCATAAAAGCTACAGGTGGTTGAAATGTGTTGTTGGTGAATAGCTCTTCAGTTTTTCAGGCTGTTCTTTGTAGGATTTATTCATCAAGGTTTTTTTATGTGAACCAATATATGTAATACCTTCAAAACATGCCGTGGTTCAGCCACTACTTAAAAAGAAAAATCTCGACCCCTCCATTCTCGCAAATTTTAGGCCCACCTCCCAGCTACCTTTTTTATCAAAAGCCCTAGAGCGAGTAGTCCAGCTACAGTCGTTCTTAACCACGCATGGCATCCACGAAAAGTTTCAGTCTGGCTTCAAACCCATGCACAGCACTGAAACAGCCCTTTTAAGAGTTTTTAACAGAATATGTACTTATGAAATAGGAAAGGCACTTAATATGTACGTTGACCTTTACAATGTAATTCAAATTATTGTAGAAACAGATGAAGCACGCTCCTGTGACATTTAATACTGTCAAAGTCAAGCTGTTGCTGAGAAAGAATCTGTGGGTGGGCTGCATGTCAAACTTTCCTAACAAGGCGTTTAACTGATCAATGGAGACGCTCTGTGGCTGATAGTGAAGGACTTTACTGGAAATACTGAGCACATCCTAGAAATCTTTACATCATACAGTTCATCCAGGTAGTTAAAGCGAACAAATGCCACTGATTATTGATTGTAATTGCAGTAACGGACTATTCACTGAGCGCCATCACCCATGGTTACTGTTGCGATGCACTTAATTCTACATTAATGATGGATGAAGATTTGTACTTTCTTGGTCTATCAATTCTAGATTTCGCTGCAGTGACAACTTCCTTGAGCATATTTAATTAACACTTGCTTTCCAAAGGTCTCACGCTGACTTATTAAATGTGCAAGTGATGAAAGCTGAAGCACCATGTTCAAGAGAAAAAGTCTGCTTTCCCACTAGTTTACGAGTTTATTAGAGGAAATAATGAAGTAGTACTGCAGGCAAAGCTAGTGAGACATGATGCTTTAGATACAAATATATATTTTCATGTTTAAACCTGTCGTTTTATAACATCATGAAAGTTCGTCGTAATTCTGCCCAGCTGCTCAATTACAAATCTCCTTGTAGAATCAAAGCCCCAAAAATGTATTATGAAGACTTTATCATTACATATAATCAGGTATAATAAACTATTATCATTATTTAAATTACCTAATTGAACTACATTAGGTAAAACTGACTCAACCCTGTCACCTAGTCTACCAAAGAACAACCTACTAGTATGAAAACAGTACATTTAAGATAAGTTTCACCTATACAGGAGGAAAGGTTATTTAGGATGAAGGACAGCTGATGTATTTGACAGTATTGCAGGTAATGCTCTTGGCTGAGACAGTGCCACAGAGCTTCTGATAGCCCAGATGTACAGTAGCATTAGTTTTCTGCCAAATGTGTGAAACGTGAAGCTGGGTGCTCAGAGGAGCATTAAGCAGAACGATGCATTAACAGATGTGCTGACTCAGCGTTATGAACGTCCCAGAGTGCTCTGCTGCAGAGGGTGGACTGGGTGTGACCGAGAAACTTTTCACCGGCAGCTGTTTCTGCAGACTTTAATTAAAGTCAATGCAAAGCTAATTGGAGGGAAATGAATCGATGCAAAACAAATAGTTTGTGCCCCCGCTGAACGTTAACCTGACAGCCTCACTTACCACTGCCGCTGGTCCGCGTCACAGTTGCAGTCGTACTTTGGGTCCGTGCAGTTCCTGTCGATGCCACAGGAACATTTCTGGATGCCGGGCCCCGAGCCCCCCCAGTAGAAGTGCTTCTCGCTGCCCCGGCCCACCCACCACGTGTAGGGGGTCCCATCTGGGGAAGACACAAACACAAAAATATGTTTGAAAAAAAGAACAGCAGAGATGGCAAAAGTACACACATCCTTTACTCAAGTAGAAGTACAGATACTCGTGTTTAAAAATACTCTGGTACAAGTAGAAGTACTGACTAAACTTCTTTACTCAAGTGAAAGTAAAGAGGCTTTGAAATGTACTTCAGTAGAAAGGACCCATAACTAGCAGCTGTTTTAAAGAGTACCTGACCTCCCTTTATATTAATAGAACAATGATGTCATTGTTAGCTAATGAATGTTTCCATGCTGAACAACGGCAACATGACAACGTTTCCATTGGTCCCTCTTCTTTAGAGAAGACCAGGAAATGATGGATACACGGATCGTGTTCAAATCAATAGGCACGCAATGACTCTAAAGAATAATGATCACGCATCAAACACACATTCAGACTAAAGGAACCAGCTGTTTGGAAAATGAGAGAAGTAGAAAGTACAGGTATTTGGGTTCAACATGTGAGAAGTAGAAAGTACAGGTATTTGTGTTCAACATGTAAGAAGTAGAAAGTACAGGTATTTGAGTTCAACATGTAAGAAGTAGAAAGTACAGGTATTAGTGTTCAACATGTAAGAAGTAGAAAGTACAGGTATTTGAGTTCAACATGTAAGAAGTAGAAAGTACAGGTATTTGTGTTCAACATGTAAGAAGTAGAAAGTACAGGTATTTGAGTTCAACATGTAAGAAGTAGAAAGTACAGGTATTTGTGTTCAACATGTAAGAAGTAGAAAGTACAGGTATTTGAGTTCAACATGTAAGAAGTAGAAAGTACAGGTATTTGAGTTCAACATATAAGAAGTAGAAAGTACAGGTATTTGAGTTCAACATGTAAGAAGTAGAAAGTACAGGTATTTGGGTTCAACTTGTAAGAAGTAGAAAGTACAGGTATTTGGGTTCAACTTGTAAGAAGTAGAAAGTACAGGTATTTGAGTTCAACATGTAAGAAGTAGAAAGTACAGGTATTTGTGTTCAACATGTAAGAAGTAGAAAGTACAGGTATTTGTGTTCAACATGTAAGAAGTAGAAAGTACAGGTATTTGTGTTCAACATGTAAGAAGTAGAAAGTACAGGTATTTGTGTTCAACATGTAAGAAGTAGAAAGTACAGGTATTTGTGTTCAACATGTAAGAAGTAGAAAGTACAGGTATTTGAGTTCAACATGTAAGAAGTAGAAAGTACAGGTATTTGTGTTCAACATGTAAGAAGTAGAAAGTACAGGTATTTGTGTTCAACATGTAAGAAGTAGAAAGTACAGGTATTAGTGTTCAACATGTGAGAAGTCAAAGTAAAAAGTCGTCAGAAAAATAAGTAATGGAGTACTGATACCAGAAAAATGTACTTAAGTACAGTGACAAAGTATTTGTACTCCACTACTTCCCACCTCTGAAGAACAGTCATCTACTTGTTTCTGACAATGTTCACTGTTTCCCTCACAAACTTTTTGAAGGCAATTAAAGTGTGTTTCTAAACTGTCAGTCCTCCTTCTCATTGCAGGTGATTCGTTGTTAAATCCTTCACTGTTTCAGGCTTTTGTCGCATTAATGTGATTTCAATCGACAACAAGCAGCTGCATGGTTGATGTAATTCATTTGCTCAACATGCATTACACAGCTGAATGGTAAATGCCTCTGAGACAGGCAGGCACACTTAGCAGGCGCGACGGATTCATTTTAGAAGTGGGGGGGCCAAAAAAGTGCGTGTGTATGGCCCAATCCCAAACCACGCCCTACACCCTACCCCTACACACTCCCCCTCCGTGACGGAGTGAACTCCGTGGAGTGACACATGAGGCTCCCTCCTGTCAGATGGATGGAATAAATACAGCAGCAAGCTTTGGGACGGCCTCCCCTCTCTCCGCAGAAACAGGAAATGCCGTAACTGTATGTAACAACGGTTTCAAATCAGCATCTCTTTGACAAAAAATGTAAATGAATAACTCAAATAAAACTCCAAACATCTTTCATTGTGTTTTTTTGTAAAGCTCTTTTAGTTTTAAACCTGATGTTTATAAGCTTCTTAGTTTTTGCAACAGTCTGTAAATATACACAACTTTATAATAAAATGCACACATTTACCTTTTTCTAGACTAAACACAGGTACGATCCTAAGTTAAAAGAATATGAGGTCATCGTGAGGTTGTTAACATCGCAATTTATCAGTGGATGTTTGCTGGAAGCCTGGAACTAGGCTACTTGTAAACAGCGTGTTTCCTGACGGACACACACAGCGTTGAGACCGGTCAGGTAGCCTACTTCTGGCTACAGGTGATGCGATTCATGACACTTATTTCAAGAAATTCAAGAAATGGACATCAATTATTTATTTAACCGAACCAAACAACAATTCTTGTGAAAAGAACGGAGGCCTATAACAAGCTTGTTAACAGTAACACAAGCTGTGATGTCGTGTAATTAAAATCACATGACTAAAATGTCCAATAACAGATGAGGGTGGAGCAACCTTCAAACAAATGTCCCACAATACATAGGGTAAAGCAAAACAAAAATCCCCACGTGGCTAAATCTACTTAATCTTTCTACATTTTGCCAAAGTAAACCTCCCTTCGCTCACTGGCAAAGCAGAAACTCCAGAGCACTTTTTTGAGGTCCAGGCCGTCGGTCAAATCTTTGTGGATGTGGAGGAAGAGAAGGTGATTTAAGCGGCGCTCGGACTAGTTGAACGAAGGAACGTCTTCAACCGACGGAGGCTGGAGAAGCTCCGCTCAGCTGTTGCATTGGACATCGGCACAGTGAAATACAGCCGTAGAAGCTTGTCCACTTCACTGAAGAGGGATTGCGTGCCTCGTCCCTGTGCCGCCAGCATGTCCGCGATTGTGGCCACCCCTTAACAAATAAAGTAAACAACGTAACAAATAAACAAATCTAAGCTTTTTTATTGGTTGTAATTTACATGGATACATTTGAATGGTGTGACAATGTCCTATTTGATTGGGTTAAAATGTACATATTCTTCCTGTTATGTCTGCCTGCTTTATTTTACCTTATGCAAAGTGACCTGCTCCATCGAAATCAGTCGCATTGACCCGAAGACACATTTTGAGTTGTATACACTGTTGGAAAGAGGAGATTCCGAGCTTTCTAATGATATCAGGATTGTTTTTGTACTTCAAATATTAAGCAAAATATGTCACATTAGCCTATATAATGACTCGAGTCATCATTTTGAGAAAAAGGCCTTCAAAGTGTCCTCTTCTCTGGATCGATCTGATTGATTATTAGCGGAGCAAATTATCAAAATACTACGCAGGGAAGATATTTTCGTTTGGATTACTGGTCTGGGGGAAACTCGCGAGTGTGTGTGTATACGTGTGTGTTTGTGTATTTTGTGTACACCGGCTGTTGTTATGCCTGCTGTGATGTTAAGTTACTCCGTTCTCCGCTTGTAATTATGCCGCCACAAGCTTCAAAGTTGTATTTATCATCTGAATTGCCGAAACAAGTATAATCTTCTGAAAGCCAAGATTTTGTTTAATTGAAATCAGATTAAAAAAAACAGTAACGGACCCTGCCGTGTTATCTATGATTACTATATGCCTGACATTCATAATTTCAGCAGGAGGGAGGGGGAGCGGCGCTGTGGAAGAGCAGAGTGGCACGTGAGAGGCGAGCTGTGTTCTTCCCTTTACAAGCTTCAAAAATGCCTGTAGCTAATGAGATTGAATATAACAATAAAAAATAACAAAATATACACAGCTAGATCAGATCGCGTTTTAGATGTGACTTTAGAGTAGAGGGGAATTATTGAAACGGGATTTGTACACGGCATCCGCCGCTGTGAAAATGTGGGGCAGGGCTGATAAGTGGGGGGGCCAATGGCTCCCTGGCCCCCCCGCTTCCAGCGCCCTTGACACTTATGACGTTTCCACTGCAGGCCTCGCTCGGCCTCGCTCGGTTTGGTTAGGCCTTATTAGGCCCGGCTCACTTTATGCTGCGCTTCCATTACAGTTTAGGAACTGGGGCAGTTACTATAGTAACGCAGTGTAGGCGGAGCCGTGACGTCATCTTCAATGAGAGCCCCAGAAAAACAACACAGCCGTTAGCTCTTAGCACTCGGAGCTCACAGCTCCTCATATCTGTTCAGAAACTTGACAAAAGTTAAACAAGTACAAACCACACTCTGCCTGTGTCATGGCGAATACAGTCGCTGGTTTATTTATGTCTGTATAGGCCGTTGTTGTGAGTGTGGACGGTCGGAGCATATATAACGTTAGCTTAGCCAAGCTACATTTAGAAAACACGCATTTTAAAAGGGTTTTTCGCCTGCCGTCTGTCTGCAGACTTGTCAAAGCATTAATTCATGGTTTTTACTAACCGGTATCAGTATGTTGTTACTTCGGCATCATTTAGAAACGTGTATTACAATTAATTCACGGTCAAATATGTTCATCTTGTTGTAGTTGTAGCCCCCTTGCCAGCGATTCTCTCTCTAGTTTAGCATACTCAGCCCGACTCAGCCTGGTTGTTCCTGGCCCTAGAACCACGATTTAGTCGGGCCAGAAAAAAGGTGAAAAAGTAGCCCCGGGCCAAAACTAGGCCAAGTGGAAACGCAACCAAAAACGGGCCCCGCACGGCTCGGCACGCTTAAAGCGAGCTACCCGCTGCAGTGGAAATGCGCCATTAGTCATAGATCACACCTGAGATTTTAAAGATCTAAGACACAGTCTCAGAGAGCTGCATTTGCATTTATTTTCTGTTATTTTGTGGGAATCTGTTGACACACACAATCCTTATTGTGATGTGTGTCTGTGTGTGTTTGAGTGAGTGGGTAAAAGGTGAGGGATCGCTGCTTTTCAATAAGAAATGTAATAATGTTTTCGCCGCGCTAGATAACGTATTCCGGCAGGAGACAGTAACTAGGCGGAGAGACGGGTGTAAATATTTTGGTGCCTGGAAATACATCACAACAACAGCAAGAGAGAATGAAACAATATTACATTTCCC